GATAAAATAAAAGTAAAAGCAATGCCTGAAAATCTCTCAGAACTAACTCCTCAAATAAGAACTTTCTAAACTTTTCAATACTTTCAGGACACACACTTTTTTGGACCTTTTCAGGACTCTTCTCAAAGTCTCAATCTTTCTTCTTTTATAATTTTTCAAAAGGTGTCTTGGTTTCTCTTCAAAATATGTCTAGATTCGATGTATTTCCCTAAGAGATGCATCATTTCGCAATAATTTTTGTCCATGGTGGTGTGATAATTTTCGTCCATCAATAGGTGCCTCAAAAACCTCTTCAAATTTACAAAAATAGAACAATGAGTGTCTCAAAAACTTCTTCAAAATTAGCATAAACCGAATTTACTCACCCAATAACTGTCACTGGCGCTTAAGCGCGGGTCCTCTGGCGTTTAGGCGTGGCCTTCTTTGTTTAACCGGCGCTTAATCTGCAGCTCTGGCGGTCTTAGGGCCTGGCGCTTAGGCGCCAAAACTCTTTTGCACATTTTTCATCTTTTGGCTCCAAATTTGATTTTTTTTCACTCCTTTAAGCATTTTTCACCCTTTTTTACTTGTATCTACAAAAAAAAACACAAAAATACCATCCATTAAAGCGCAATATCTCAAAAATAGGTATAAAAATGTGTCTAAAAATACTATGTATTTTAGGCGTATCAAAGATTAAGAAAATTGAACACCTAACAATATAATCTAAACATATAAAGTAAACTAACTCAAATTTTCAAAAAAAGAACAACGCACATATATCTCCAAGTTCATAACTTCTTCTGATTGACCATGAGGTAGCATCAAACCTTCACATTTGCATAAACATAAAGACATTCCCAATGGTATATATACATTTTTTATTTAAAAGAAATTGTGCTCAAATTTCTCTTCATAAAGAAAAAAGCATTTCTTTGTATTACAGAAGAGGCATTGACCATGTAACATCAGAATATGAATATATTAAACAAGTCAAGCAAAAAATTTTAGAAAGAAGAAAAATAATGCAAATATATCTCCTCTCCTTACATAATGTCCCCTGATTGAGCAGAATGGAAATATAAACTGATAAATTATCTAGTTCTAAACTTCATGATTGCATCTATACAAAGAAATTCCTAATGGTATAACCTTTCAAATAAAAAAAAATCAAATTGTTCTAAAATTTTTCTCTAGAAAATGTTTCTCTGGATCGAAGAAGAGGTAACGACAAACAAATTAACATCATAAATTACATATATAAAACAAATGCAACATAAATTTTCAAAAAAATAATAGTGTGCATATATTTTCTTTTTCCATAACATTTTTTAATTCAACATTAGAGAAATTGAAGTAGATAACATATCTAGCATTTAACCTTCATGATTGCATAAACATAAATGCATTCCCAAAAGTATAACTTCTCAAAATAATAATAATAATAATAATTGTGCATAAAATTCTCTCCAAAATATGTTTCTTGGGATTAAGGAAGAGGCAACATCAAGCAAATTGACCGCCTAGCATCATAACTTAAATGTATAAAATAGATCCAACTTGGATTTCCAAAAAACAATAATGCACATATATTTCTTTTTCCAAAACTTCTCTTGTTGAGTTGGAGGGAAAGGGCAAGTGATAACTTATCTGACATCTAACCTTCAAGTTTGCATCAAATCATAAACTTTTCCAATTGCCAAATTTTTTCAGATAAAACAACCATCGCTCTAATTTCTCTCTAAAAACTGTTTCTTTGGATTGAACAACAGGCAATGAAATTCAATTGCCGCAAAACACTTTATGTAACTTATTTAACAACTGAAATTCAAGATTTCCATATGATCAACTCAATTTTCTAGTGGAGGCATAAATAACATGAGATAACATTTATAATGTTCAATGAAGTAGATGTGATCATATTTCTATTGATGAAATGGATCTCCACTTTGAATATAAAAAAGGAGCAACTGGATGAGACAATGACATAAATCAACATAAATTTTCAAAATAAAGAGCAATGCACCTTCAAACCACCCCAAAATAGAAGCTGAATAAGGCAAGGAAGCTGAGGAAAGCCAAAAATAAAATTCTTTAAACCATTGTGAATAAAATAAATCCAAAAATAAAAACCTTCAAACCACCACAACAAAAAATAAATGAGATAGAGAGAACTATACAGAGATTGGCAGCGATATCGATAACGGACAAAGGGAAGCGTGAAAACGAGTTTCTGCCCTAAGCACACATGTGACAACTAAGACTTGGGAAGGGGCAAGGATTTTTATACTTTGGCTTTCACCGATTTGCAGTTGAACTTTTGCAAAATGGTGGTAAAATCCGATCTCCCAAACACTGCGATAACTTTTTTGGAGATGAGAAGTTTAAATAATGAGGCACCAAACACGTCCTTAATCTTAAATCTTTTTATGGAAGAATCTTTAGTTCTCAGAGTTATGTAATGATTAATTGGTTATCATTCTATTTTATTGACAAAAGTAGGTAAAAAAGATAGAATGAGTTGTACCATATTTGAACAGATTATGATGATCTCCCACTGGCTCATGATGTTGTCGATCCTTTGACAGTAATGGGCAGTGTTGCAAAAGAAGAGGAGTATATTGAAGAAGAGGAGCCTGCTCTATGTCACCACTATGAGGTGGCTTGTGTGGCTAACCCTGGAGTCCTTATGATAGAAGAGTATGTAGCGGATCATTTAGAAACTTCAACGATCGAGCCTATTGAAAAAGGAAAAGGGAAGGAGATTTCAAGGAAAAAATGGTCAACCCGGTATGCACCTGAAAGAATAATGGATTGACCATGAGAAGAAGAGGTGAATGTTTTTGCCTGAAACTCCATCTACAATAGTTCCTTGGGACACCATCAATATGGGGGGTCAATTTTTTCTTATGAATCGAGATGGGACAAGGGCTCTTGTTGAATTGAGCCAGGAATGGCATCTTAAGTAAGAATACTCGTCAAGAGTACTTTGGCTTTTTTGGTGACCAACTCGGGCTCTTTGAGAGAGAAAATGCATTTCATCAAGCTTTAAGACCACATTGCAATAATTGAGAGTATGAAAACAACATTGTAATGCGAATATTTACTTAGTTTGGCTCATAGTACTCTAGTGAAGGAGAAGAGAGACTCTGAGTCAGCTAGTGGGAAATGAAAGAAGAGACTGCATGCCAAGATGTTATAATGGTTAAAAAATAGGCCGAATTAGCAGCACTCAAAGAGGAAATGACTAGCTAACATTTTGTGGCATGGTAAGCCCAACACATAACAAAATGAGTCTTCCTTTAGCCCTTAGTCAAGAGCTGCATGGGCGACTGTAAGCTCCAAGTTTTAAACTTCCAATATTTCCTTCTTGAAGTAGTTGATGAAAGCATGTATGGATTTTCTCTGCCCTATATCTACAAAATTGTTTTCAAGTTCTTATAGGGCTTCTACGCGCTATCAAACTGTGTGATGAATGTTATTTGACAACAAATGACATAATCACCCCTAAAGGTAGGCCATTAAACCATTAAAGAGCCGACTTCCACAAGGTGGTGAAGAATAATTGTCACCGCAACATGTCATTTATCCTCACCATGCACATGACCAACTCGAAAAGGGCTGATATGATTGACAACATTTGAACATCCCCGATAAGATTCTAAAGCAAGGATCTTAAAACGTTTGAGGTGTTCAACTTTTGAGAACTTTATGGAGAAAAAGTTCTCCTGCTATGACGGTCTTAGAGCTTTGATACACTCGTATTTGCGGTGGTTGAGTGGCGTCAATCCTCTGTTATCAGGGTAGTGCATATCTTGCTCTTGTTCTAGGGGCAACATGATTCTTCTAGTGTTCGGTGCATTCCCTCTCTACAAGTGTTAGGATGCTATTGATCGTGGCAGTTGTACTCTCTCTTGAGTCAGTCATTCCATATTACATCCATCATTTGTTCTTTGAGTTTGTTGATCTGCTGGACAAAAAATTCTTGATACAATCCATGTTGTTTTACAGTCTTTCTATGTTAATGTTCTTCTCCTTGGGTTGCTACTCATCTTATTTGTGGCATGATCAACACTCACCACACCTTTTAGCGCGTTTAACCCAAATCTGCCCATAAATCACACCCATGAAATAAAGTATGAGAAGGAGAGAGAAGCATATAAATAGATGTAAGAAATCAGGTAATTTCGTATATAGTTTCAATAGCCCCTATATATAATGCTCGTTTATTTATAGAGGGCTAGGAGAATAGTATGAAATGTCAATTACAGCTCTGTCACTTTTTAATCAGTTGATCCCAAACGATAAGCTTTAAGCCATGGAATTGTTGACTATATGATAAATTATCCTCTTGCTGGCCTGTCTTTATCGGAGTGGTATCCGAATTGGTCAACCTCTGTTTCTGCTCATCTAGACCAGTTTACCCTTATTTGGCTACTCGACCGATCCCGACCTCTGTGGTCGTCCACCGAGTTAGTTGACCATTGGTTGGTCGCTCGATCGATACTTGACTTATGGTCAGCTATCCTCTGGGTCGATTGACCTTAGGTCGCTCGCTCGATCAATATCCGACCTCTTGATATCTTCGTTCATTCCTATAAAGCTCTAATTGGTGACACGTGCTCCGCTCGGAGCCATTTGATTCACAGAAGATCTCGTCAAAAGTACTTTAATCGTGCATGTAATAAAATTAATCTTATTCGTGTATAACTTTTTAATGCATTATACATAGGAAAATTAAAACTCACATGATTTTTCCTACTCCATCAATGCATCAAGCCAAATAATATCTTAGCGAATGGATACGGTTTCTAGGATTTAAAACCCTTACAATTTATTAAATTGAAATTTCAAAATGTAATAATTTATATTTGAATTAAATATACTGCAATGAACAGCCAAAGATTGAAGTGAATTTCTCTCTCTTCTGCGTACGGTTCTACTTGTTTTGTGTGTTCCAAACTTCTCTGGCTTATTCTGATCTATTTTAAATATAGGAAAACTCACCGTCCCTCCACATTTCTGGTTGAAAACGAAATGTAATAAAGAGACAGAGAGAGAGAGAGAGAGAACGGAACAAGGGCGACGCGCACAGGTTTGGGACCAGCTCTCCCTCCTTTCTCTGTTTCCATCGAACTTTAAATTTCGGAGGAGAGTTGAGGAGAGAGGAAAGAAGGAGATGGGTCGTGGAGGTGAGAGTAGAGATTCCCAGGATGAAGGGGTAATGGCTACAGATTTTTTCTGGTCGTACACTGACGAGCCCCATGCCTCACGGAGAAAAGAGATCCTCGCCAAGTATCCTCAGATTCGAGAGCTTTTTGGACCCGATCCCTGGGCTTTCATCAAGGTCCGAATCGGATCATCATGATTTTTGTAGCACTTTTTGCCTAATTATCGTTTTTTTCCCCGCATTGCTCGCATTTTTTGTTTTATGTGAAAATGCGGTTTTGTTTTTCGAATATCTGCATCGGACCGGAAATTCTTTGATGAGATTCTCGTGGATGATTGAACTGTTCTCTCCATTTTTCAGATTTTTTTCCAATGCCTTACGTACAAATTTTCCCAGTTTTTAAAATTGGCATCCTTATAATTACGTAGATCAAGCTTGCGAAATGCTCTCCTATTGGTGTGCAACTTGCATTTTAAAATTGGGGTTTGATTGCCACATGCCGGAGTTTGATTTGTTTTTCATCAACTTAGTGGGGAATTGAAGCTTGTAATATGCACTTTATACTTTTCTGAAACGATGTTGGGCTTGTTGAGTTTACTTAAATGCGGCATATGGGCTTGAGGTTGCTGTGAGGCAGATGTGGATTGAGAAGAATCATAACGTTTCTTTCTATAACTATAAGCCCTACCCATGTCGATATTAATAACTGGAAATAAAGCTCGTTTGACTAATCAAGACAATTAGGCTTCTAAGGTTGCAGGGCGGGTTATTATTTTATTTTAATTATATTTATGGCTCGAATTCATTTGTGAACTTATTATAGGGAGTGCCTTTCAGTGGTTTCTGCACTGCATGAGCTTTTATTTCAACCAAATTGTGCAAAATTTCTAACCTGATTTTAGCCATTTGACGCAAATCTATTTGCCATAGGTTTTCCTTTGATTTTTCCTTTGGTGCTATTTTTTACTGTAGTTTTGAATACCTGAAATTTGATTCCTTTTGATATCTTTGTTTTTTATTTTGTGTTTCCATCACATTTAATCCTAACCGAGAGGAAATAATTTATATCCCTCTGATCACTCACCGCTCCTTTATTTTGGCAATTGCTTTCAATTGGCATGCAGATTTTTATACAAGAACTATTGGAGTTCCATCTCAGATTTTCTTAGCACTGTCTCTAATGTCCGGAACATTCCAGTGAATGGTGATCCCCTTTTTGCTTTATGAAATAAAATGTTGAAGTTGCTCTTAAAAGTGGCAATTAGAGCTTTTTCAACCATATTGTCAAATTCATTACTCAGTTTAAAGACATCCAAAAGCAGATTTACTCCAAGCTTGATGAGCAACCTTTTGTAAAGATATACTTGTTGAAGCTCTTCTACTAGAAAAAAAAAATCACTTAAATTTTCATTTGTGAAAATAAATGGATTACTAAAAGAGCTAAATGTGTTTGACTCTCTCAAGAAGATCATGAAAGCACATCCTTATATTAGAGAATCAAATACAAGAATAACAAAAAAATTATTAGAAAGCTTCTATCCAACAATTCTTACATTTACTCTCTAGAGGATATTGCATCTGAAGCTATCACTTATTCCTATACTCCAGCCACTTATGTTAATCTTCATCTTGGTCCTTCTCTTTCTAACCAAGAGCAAGAAATTCTTATATAAGATTTCACCGAGGAAGAAATCAAGTATGCTTTCTTTTGTATGGCTCTGATATAACCCCGAGTCCCGTTGGGTTCATCTCTATGTTTTTTAAAGATTCTTGGTCTGTTATTTTCCCATCATATATTTTTTCCAAAAAACATTTTTTAAATACAGACAATCTTCCTGATAAGGTTAAACATTCTGCCATTACTTTATCTCCAAGAATTCCCATTCTGAATCTCTTAATGATTATAGATAGATCTCCCTATGCAGTACAACCTATAAAGTCACTGCTAAGCTTCTTATGGATAGGCTTAAATCACTTCTACCTACCCCTATTCATCTCCCAAGCTACGTTTATTTCTGGAAGGGATATTGTTGACAATATCATTCTTGCTAATGAGCGTTTACATGTTTTTAATTCTACTGGTCACTCCTAAGCAATTTTTCTCTAAAACTAACTTTATGAAAACCTTTGACAAAATTGGACATTCATTTCTCTTTTATAGAATGAGAATTATGAGTTTTCATAAATGTTCAATTTTAATCGTTATTTTTACACTACTATAGGCCTTAGACATGGGTGTCCCTTTCACACTTATCTTTACTATTTTTATGGATGCCTTTTCTAAACTCTTGGACTCAGAAAGTGACATCTTCATTTAACTAACAGATGCTAATGATCTTTTGGCATTTGGAAAGGTAATATTTTTTTCATTGAATACTTTAACTCCATTAAGTTTTACTAATTAGAGTTGAACTACTTTCAAGATCTCAAAATGTCTTATTGTGAGGATTCAATGATCCATACAAATTTTTCGAGCAAGAGAGGAACTAATAATGCTTGGAATAATTTTAATCATTTGTTAACATAATTCTCTTAAAGTGAGTGTGTTATCCACCAATCTTCTTGCCCTAACATGTGCAACAAATTAGGGTAGTACAAAGAAAAAATCATAATCTCTTGGAAGTAACTAGGACACTTCTCCTACACAATCAAATATCAAAATAATATTAAAGAGAAACTGTTTAAATAACTATCTATTTAATCAATAGAATACCCTTAAGAGTAATTAATTCCAAAAGACAATTAAATTATTTGATAAAATTCTTTAATATGAGTAACTTCTCAAAGATCTCTTAAAAAATTTTTGGATGCATTGCATATAATTATTGGATATTTTGTCATACAAAAATGGTACAAGTGCTATCATTAACCTAAAAAAAAATTTACTTCAATGGATGCCATTTTTGATAAATCCCATAGTTTCTTCATCTGTACTCATCTTCAAGGAAAAAAATTCCTTCTCATTGATAAATTTGATAATCTTTCATCTTAATATATTTGTAACAAAATTTCTTTCAAAAGAAAAACTTGTACTAACTATCCCCCTTTAGGTCATGCGAGAAGGAACAAGCCCTGCCAATATCTCCAGCAAGTTCAGGACTTAAAACTGTTACTAGTTAACATTGCTCAGTCCACTACCACTCATTTATTTCCCATCACTCACTACACCTTATTTAATAAATTTTTTTCATCTCACAAAGACTTTCTAACGAACATCAATACCAATTATATTTCTATTCCACAAATTCTATTTGAGGCACTTGAAAAAATAAACCAATACCAATAGAAAAAAAATCCTACATGGGAGATCCCTGAATTACCAAGGAGAAAGAAGACAATAGGTTGTAAATGAATTTTCACGGTGAAATACAATGCAGATGGGTGCCTAGAAAGTTATAAAATAAGATTAGTAGTAAAATGATATACTCAATCATATGAGATTGATTATAAAAAAAATTTTTGCTCTTATGACAAAAATAAATACTATTCACATTCTAATATCTCTAGCAACAAATTATGGGTGGCTTGTACAATAATATGATGTAAAAAAAGGCTTTCATACATGTTGATATCAAAGAAGAGATCTATATAAATCCACCAACAAGATTTGATAGCTCTTTCAAAAAGAATCAGATATGTAGATTGAAAAAGACCTATATGGACGAAAACAATCACCAAGAGTTTGGTTTGACAGATTTGCAAAGGCTATGAAAGAAGCTAGATACAAACATAGTGAAAGAGATCATACTATCTTGATGATAATATAACAATCCTTTTTATGTATGTTAACGATATGATTGTTGTGCAGATGATACACAAGATAGAAAAACTCTTAGAAAAAGGCTTGCTGAAGAATTTGAAATCAAAGAGTTAGGAAAACTCAAATACTTCTTTGGAATAGAAGTCGTTGAATCTAAACATGGTATATTTCACTCTCAGTATAAATATATTATTGATCTGCTGAAAGAGACAAAGATGATAGAATGCAAGCCATATGAAACTTCAATTGAACTAGGATCAAAGCTGGACCTTGATGAAGGAGCTGATGTAGATACAAGATAATATCAAAGATTAATGAGAGAATTAATTCACTTATCTCACACTTGTCTTGACATCACATTCACAGTAAGTCTAGTTAGTTAATTCATATACAAACCTAAAGAGTTCACACCTTCAAGCTATTTATAAAATTATCATATATCTCAATCAAGCCCATAAAAATGAGTTTTATACAAAAGGCAGATGCAGATTATGTTGTATCATCGGTGATAGAAGATTTATTTGAGAGTATTATCCATTCTTAGGAGGAGATCTCATAATAAAGAGAAGCAAGAAACAACCTATGGTTTCAAGATCAAGAGAAATCGAGTTTAGAGCCATTGTGCAAGGGATCTAAAAGGGTTAAAATTATATTTGAGGATTTAAAAATCAAGTAGAAAGAGCCTATGAAAATATATTATGATAATAAATTTACCATCAATATTGCACACATTTATGTACAACATAATCATACTAAGCATGTTGAGGTTGATAGTCACTTTAAAAATAGAAAGTTTAAAGTAGTTTTATTTGTATTCCATGTGTTCTTTGAGACTTATTCACCAAAGAATTATGAAACCTATCATTTAAAAATATCATTAGCAAACATGAAATGCTAGATCTCTATCATCCAGGTTCAGGGGGACTGTTAAATTGCTGCTCCAATCATAACAAAGAATTGAAGGCAATTGGATCAAGGTTTTGTATCCTTAGATTTGTTTATGTATGACCCACAAGTAGCAAAGAACTTAAGACACACAAACCGTGACTCTATATCGTTAGATCTTTCTCTTCATGATCCTTGTATTGTAATCCATGCTCATTTCTAAAGGATCGCCGGACTCTATTTATTTTTCTCTTCTTTTTTATTTTATTCTTATTTTATAATGCCTCATCTTGTACAAAAAAGAAAAAGTTAACACTCTTGACAGTTTTTCCCATCCTCTTATTACTATGAGAATCATTCTAAGGCTGATTGGTGGAATTTGGTCTGGTTTAAAGGTTGCTCTTTTAAATATGCTGTTAATAACATAGAAAAATAAAATTGCAGGATTGAAAACTGTTGATATTCTCAGTCTTAGAGGAAGACATTTTAAAGCTGATTGTGTTTCTATAAAGATCAACATGAGATTCATACA